CTTCTTCGTGGTTTCGGATCTCCAGGAAGTCAGCGGCACACGTGCAAGTGGCCTCAAGCACATTGGCTCCGTTTGAGCTGAGCGCATGGGCTCCCTATTGGAAGAAGCCGCCGCCTTGTGCTTACATTTCTCCCCGCGCGCCTGTCCATTCGCCCGCTGGTAGGGCTGGCCAGCTGCCTGGCCTGGTCTGGTCTGTTCTGGTCTGCTCTGTCCTGGTCTTTCCTCGGCTTCTCTTCCTGTCTCCGCGTGTGCCTGTTTCGGGCTCTGCGCGCCAGCCTCGCCACACGCTCGGGGTGCGTTCTGACCCCTGAGCCGCCCGCCCCGTCTTTGTTTTCCTTCGGCCGCGTCCTTCCTCCATCCTCCTGCATGGTGGCGCAATTCGCTCCAAAGGCACCCCCGCTTAAGCCTCTCATCGCCAGCGCAGTTGCCCTCTGCCTAGCCGCCGACGCCCAAACTGTTGCGGGCTCTGTCCCGGATCTGGCCTTGGCCCTGGCTCCAGCTCTCTTTCTTTGTGTTTGCACGCAATTCTCGCTACCTCTCTTTGTTCCTGTCCCCATCGCTGCCTCTGCCCCTGCCGCCGTCTCCGTCTTCGGCTCCGTCCCGTGTCGGGCCAGCTCTTGGTGGCGACCTTCCTTCGCCCAGGGAGGGGACGGAGATCGCCAGAGGGCGGGGGGCATCAGGCGCTGCTGAGCCAGCAGGCGGCGCACATGGCGCCGGCGGTGCCTGCTCAAGGTGCAGGCGTCCGGAAGGGGGGATGCGCGCGATGTCTGTGTAGCGTGGTGGGGAAAACCTGGGGGAGGAAGAGAGAGAGAGAGAGAGAGATAGAGAGAGAGGAGGCGGAGAGGGACGAGGGGGAGGAGGAGGATGAGGAGGAGGAGGAGGAGGATGAGGAGGAGAAGGAGGAAGAGGAGGAGGATGAGGAGGAGGAGGAGGAGGACAAGGAAGAGTAGGACGAGTGTAAACCCAAGACGCATCAACGATGTTGCAGTAACCCCTCCCTCTTCGTAAGCTCCTACGGATGTACTGTCGCTGCGGGAAGAGCCCCGTTGGAGGACAGACGTTTGAACATCTCCAACCGTGCCAGGTGACATTCCTGGGACTCCGACGCCGCGAGTCAGCGTTACTGTTGCGACCTCACGATCCGAAGTCGTGCCCGAACACCTAATCTGGGACGCCAACAGCGCGAATCAACGTGAGTGTCGCGCCCTGACAATCCTACATCGTGCCAGAGCACAATTTTTGGGACGACCACCGTGACAATCGTTGACGCTGTCGTAAGCTGTTATGACGATGGTGCGCGGCACTAAGGCGAGAGCCATATTTTGAAAAGGAAATGCCCTCCATCCGTGAAACTTTTTGCAAGCTTTTGAGGACGAATGTGCGCGGACCTCAAGCAACAACCGCATTTTGAAAACGGCCAGCCCTCCATCTGTGAAGCTCTTGCAACCTTCGGTTTTCACGCTTCAGAACCGTAAGTGGTGAGGAAGTCTTGGGCGAAACGTCTGGCCCGCCCTACCAGCACGTCTCAGGGTGCGACAGGGGGGCGTATTTACAAGGGAGAAGGATGGGGGAGGAGGATGAGGAGGAGGAGGAGGAGTGGAGTGGAGTTGAGTGGAGCCCATCACAGAGTCGTGATTTGCGTGGAACCTACCTGCGGCACTGGCCTGCTCTCCGCGAGTATCACGAAACCGAACACGACGAAGTAGTCGTGGAACTGTCACCCGTATTTCAGATTTTCCAGCCCCCACGACAAGAGAGCCCACAGTATCTTCATTTTTTAGGTTCCCCACAGCCAGGGTAATACCAAACGTGACCATTGAAAGGGTGGTGAAACTACCCACCAAGCGACGCTGCAAATTCCGAATGGCATAACGCAGCTTGTATTTGAAAGGCTCACACTCACCACACACAGGGCTTCACCGTAGAGAGTGCAGGCCGACTCGAGTATCTGATGCCGCTGGGAACCAACGGATGGGAGATCAGCAAGACAGGGCCCCCCCGAGCGTTACCGCCGAGCTACAGTCCACCCACCGCAAGCGTGAAGCAGCTTCACAGAAGCCGCCCGCGCCAGGCCACGTAGGGAATCTGACAGCCGCCGCCGGCGCAATGACCAGGGTCAACGGTGCACCTCCAGAAGTGCTACACCGAGCAGCAGCGCACTGAACATTTGAATTGGTGACTTGCGAATGGACCATGCAAAATGAGTGAACCCTTGCAAGGAGCACCAGTGACGTACACCCAGGGATGGGGGGAGGCTTTTGCAAAGGCATGCCCGGAGGAGGATAAGGAGGAGTAGGAAGAGGATGAGGAGGAGGAGAAGGATGAGGAGGAGGAGGAGGCGGAGTAGGAAGAGGAGATGATGATGCTGCTGCTGCTGATGATGATGATGCTGATGATGATGATGATGATGATGATGATGATGATGATGATGCTGATGCTGCTGCTGATGATGAGATGATTCTGAGATGATGATTATGAGATGATCATGATGATGATGATGATGATGCTGATGCTGATGCTGGTGCTGCTGCTGATGATGATGCTGCTGCTGCTGCTGCTGATGATGATGATGATGATGATGAGGAGGAGGAGGAGGAGGAGGAGGAGGAGGAGGAGGAGGAGGAGGAGGAGGGAGAGGAGGTCTCTTGGGGCCCTTTTCGGGCCTCCTGGGGTCGTTGCGGGGTCCTCAGAGGGACTTTGTGGGGGCCCCTGGGGACCTCTAGGGAGCTTCTTGTCCTTCGGAGGCCGCATTGGAGGCCTCACTGGGTCGGCTTGGTGTCCTCTTGGGGCGGTTCGGGGCCGCCTTGGAGGGCTGTGGGGCCGCCTCGGGGGCGTGCTGGGCAGTTTTTGGGGTATCTTTTGGCCCGTCTTGTGGCCTTTTCGGGGGGCGTTTTGGGGCCGTCTTGGGGCTATATTGGCAGCTTTGGAGGCGTCTTTGAGGCCATCGTATGCGTTTTGGAGGTCTCTTGGGCCATCTTGGGGCCCTCTTGGGGCCGTCTTGGGCCGTCCTGGTCCGTCGGAAGCCCGGAACGACGCAGCCGCCCAACTCCTTCGAACATCCAGAGGGGAATTACTGGCTTTGGCTCCCGCTGGCCCTGCCTGGGGTCTTCTGGGAGGCCTCTTGGGCCTTTTTCGGAGGTCTCTTGGGGCCCTCTTTGGCCATCTTGGGACAGTCTTCGGCCGTCTCAGTGCCATCTTGGCCGTCTTGGAGGCGTCTTGGAGGTGCTGTCCAGCTGCTTGCGGCAAGTCGTGCCGCCTTGGCGCCGTCCTGGGCTGTCGAGTGGCCTTCCAGGGCCGTCTGGGGTGCCTCTGGAGGTCCTCTCGGGCCGTCTTGGAGCCGTCTTGGATGCCTCCTGGGCCATCGTGGGTCTTCTAGGCATCTTGGGCCATCTCGGTGTCCTAAGTTGTCTGCATGGGCCGTCTTGGAAGCTCGGGGCGCGGCCCTGTTTTATAACGAGGGGTCTTGGCCGCGGGCCCAGGTTTGTTCGAGAGATCATGGCCTCGGGGGGGGGGGCACCTTCATGGAAATATGCAAGCCCTGCAGAGGAGCACCTGACATTCTAGCACGCCTCCACGTGCCAGGCGGCACGATGGCGGATTGGGCGTCTTGGAGATCTTGTGGACCATCTCGGGGTAGTTTTGGGGGCCTCTTGGGCCATCTCGGGTCCGTTTTGGAGGCCTCTTGGGCCGTCTTGGGGACGTCATGAGGGCCTCTTGGACTGTCTTGGATTGTTGGAAGCCCGACAGGGAGCAAACGCCCAAATCTTGAACACGCCAAAGGAGCAATACGTTCGCCTTCTTTAGGCCCTTCTTAGGGTCCTCTTGGAGGCCTCTTCGGCCGTCTGTGGGGCTTCTGGGGAACCTGTTGTGCCTTCTCGAGGCCTTCTCGGGCAATCTAGGTGCCATCTTGGTGGTCTTCAACGCGTATTGAAGGCCATCTTGGAGTCTTGGAGGCCATCTTGGGGACCATATTGGGCGTCTTGAAGGCGGAGGGGGGTCCTTCCGCGTCGCCGGCGTGATCGAGACCTTCCATGGGTACCTTTTGGAAGGGCCAGAACAGTCGAACATCTGGCACGCCAACATTCCCTGTAGATTTACCACAGGTGGCGGCGTATCTAGTGGCCTTCGGCGCATCCCACCCCTTGCCTGGGTTGTGGGCCATTCGCCTCTTGGATGCGTACTGGGGTGGTCTCTTGCGATGCCCCTCGGAGGCCGTGGGAGGCCTCTTGAGGGAGCTCTTGGGGCCTCCCGGCTCTCGCTGTGTGGCTCGTCGACGAGCCGCGCGTGAAGCCCCGAGGGCGCTTTTCACTCAGTGCCGCTACGGTGGCGGACTATCGAGGGCAGTTTTTGGTGACCGGCCTGATTGATCGAACTCCACGTCGCCACGCCCGCCCAGCTCTTCTTTCCCTGATGCGATGTCGCAGGAGCCTGCTTTTCTTCGGGTGGCCTATCCCCCCCATCGAAAAAAACGTTGGTCGAGGCTTTGGCCTGGGTGTTTGGGCGGTGGGGCGATGGCTCCGACAACGCGGCCGTCTATCTGCACAACTCGTACCGTCTTCGATCAAGGTGCGGTGAAGAAGGCCTGTCCGTGTCTTTGGGATACTACTGTCTTACCTGGATGCCGCTGGATGTGGTTCCAGTCCTTCTTGTCGTGTTCCGCGACGTCGGCGAGTCCTTCGTGTCCTGCAGATCTCGTCTCATCGAAGCGATCGTGTCTGCCCGTTGCCGCTGCTTCTGCTGCTGCCGTAGCGCCTCCTGCTCCTCCTGCTCCTCCTCGTCCTCGTCCTCCCCTATTTCTTATACCGTGCGCCCAGAAGCGTTGGTGCCCGAGGCCGGATTGGTCGAGCTTGATTGCCCTCTTCCTTCTGTCCGTGGATGGCCTCCACTCGAAGTTTGGGGGCGAGAGGGATCCATCTTCGAGCGCCTGATCCGCCCAACCAGCATCTTACCTTCTCCTGCTCTTGCCTTCCTCGCGCGGGCTCTCCAGCCTCCCGCGCCAGGGAGCACCATGGCCGGACTGCTGGCCCACGCGCAGCCCGCGATGCGCCCAGCCGGCGCGGGCGCGCCCCCGTTTGGCATCCGGCCTGCGGCCGCAGTGCCGAGCGGCCAGTCGCCCGAGCAGGCGCTGGCAGCCTCTGCCATGCAGTACCTGCAGCAGCAGCCGGAGCAGCAGCCGCCGCAGCAGCCCGTGCAGCAGCAGGTGCAGCCGCAGCAGCTGCAGCAGCAGGTGCAGCAGCAGGAGCAGCAGCAGCAACAGCAGCAGCAGCAGACGTCGCACGCTCGGCGGCCTCCCTCGACCAGCTTACCTCTCTCCAGATCTCCGACGGCACGATCTTTTTCGAATCCAGGCCCCTGGGGTCCGTTTTCGGGCCCAGGGCCCTCAAACGTAGATTTGTTGCGAAATACTGTCCCCAGGGAAGGGGTCGCGACCTCAGGGGCCGCGCACTGAAAACATCGCATCCGCAGATGTCACGGTCCTGTGGGTTCGCCGGTGAGGGTCGTGCCGAGTTGCCAGAGTTCCTCCTCTTCCTCCTCCTCCTCCTCCTCCTCCTCCTCCTCCTCCACTCCCTCCTCCTCCTCCTCCTCCTCCTCCTCCTCCCTCCTCCTCCACTCCCTCCTCTTCCACCTCCTCCTCCTCCTCCTCCCTCCTCCTCCTCCTCCTCCTCCTCCTCCTCCTCCTCCTCCTCCTCCTCCTCCTCCTCCTCCTCCCCCTCTCCGTAGACTTTGGCCCAAGATGTCCGCTTCACTGAGAGTGAAGTGGGTACCGCTGGTCCGCGGCCATACCCTGTCGGGCGCGCGTGGGGCGCGTCGGCGCGAGGCCGCCTGCCATGCCAAAGTGCGGCGGGCGAGGCGGAATGAATAATTACTACGCCTGCCCCGTGTGGCAAGCAGGTCAAGCGCCAGGGCAAGAAGAGCCGGCGTGATGCTGCTGCTGCTGATGATGATGCTGATGCTGATGCTGATGCTGATGCTGATGGTGATGGTGATTATGACGATGCTGGTCGTGGTCCTGCTCAACCTGAAGCCCGTGACGGCTCCCAGTCTCCTGCTCCTCGTGATGTCGGGTTCGAGCTTGGTGAATATAAGCCTATGGATGATGAGCCTGAGTCTGAAGGAGAGGAATTCGGACGAGACGACTACAGCTGCCAGTTCGTTCGGGTTCAGCTCGCTGCAGCCAGGGGCCCTCCCTCGCAGTCGAGGGCCAGATCAAACGTCTTGCCGACGCGAACAGTTGAAGGCTTCTTCTCGTATGCGTGATTTTGTTCGCAACTTATTAACCTTACCGAAGGTGATGCTGAACGATTCAGCGCCGAAAAGCCCAACTCTCTTCATCGGCGACTTCAAGAATCGCTGGACGTATGCCGTGTTCGACTTCGAGGCGAGGAGCTGAGAACCGCATCGACGAGCATGGCCCCGCCATCGTCGGCATCTGCATGGCAATTCAAGAACTTCCCGCCGCACTCGCATTTGCGAATGCCCAGCCTCCCAAGCCTCCTGCCAGTGTGTCGGGACTCGAGCGGCCGGTTCAAGGTCCTCGCCACGAAACTCACGCCGCTCGCCAACATCCAGCAGCTGCTCGGGGGCTGGCTCACAGGGGTCGGCGTCCAGGCAAAGGACTTCGAGATCCCCTCTGCTGAAGCCGTCTCGAGGAGGAGGAGGAGGAGGAGGAGGAGGAGGAGGAGGAGGAGGAGGAGGAGGAGGAGGAGGAGGAGGAGGAGGAGGAGGAGGAGGAGGAGGGAGGAGGAGGATGAGGAGGAGGAGGAGGAGGAGAGGAGGAGGAGGAGGAGGAGGAGGAGGAGGAGGAGGAGGAGGAGGAGGAGGAGGAGGAGGAGGAGGAGGGGAGGGGAGGAGGAGGAGGAGGAGGAGGAGGAGGAGGAGGAGGAGGACGTGGCTTCTCTTCTTGGTGGCGCGCCGTTCGGCAGCGCCACGGGTCCTGCGGTGCGGCGGGCGGTCGGGGCGCGGAGCGCGCGCCAGCGCGGGCGTGGCCACTCGAAGCGGTTCGAGGTTCGGTCGGCAGGCGGCGACGTGTCCGCCGGACCCTGACCAGACACAGGCAGCGGCAGGTCAAGCTCGAAGGGCAAGGCGAGGAGCGCAGAGAGGCCTTCCGTGGCAGGAGCGGGCCCAGGAAGTGTTGTTCTGCGATCGCGGTCGCGGCTGCGCCATTGCAGGTCGGGGTCCAGCATTCGTCGTCGCACCTGTGCCCAGCAGCGCACCGTCGGAGCAGTGCTGGGCCACCAGCATCGTCACCAATCTCGGCCTCTACAAGGAGTGGATTGACGCCCTCGCCAAGACGAGCGTTGTTGCGCCGCCCGAGGCAGCCAAGTTCGGTATTTGACGATTTCGTCACACTCATTGGTGGTCAGCGCCAAGGTCCTCCACCGCTGGCGTTCACCTCGTGGAGCGCTCGTGAGTTCCTCCATTGCCAGGGCGGGAAGGCGGCCAGCAATCTCGGATGCCTTCGTCGCTTGGACTTCGCTCGTGGGGCCGTCGCCTTGCAGGGGCTTCATCAAGACGAGCTGCAGCCGCAAGCGCTTTGGGACAAAGTTTTGATCGGCCTCCAGGTGTTCCCCAGTGTGCGAGGGGTCTGCACTGCGAGGGGGCGTGCCTACGATCGTCGGGCGCAAGACCATGACCTATAACAACTTGCACAGCCGCGACCTCACGCTCTCACAGCTTGAGTCCGTCGCTTCTGCCATCGCCGCAGACTCGGCCGCTTCTTCGGTAGACCCCGCTAGGGCGGTGCTGGTCAGTCACGGTGACCTTCACTTTTCTCCGTTTTCTCCGTCTTCGCCATTCTGGCTTCATCTCCCCGTGCTGCTGGTGCTGGACGCGGCCGGCGCGCCCGTGCGCCAAGGGGGCGTCGCGTGCCGGGTGGCCTTGCTGGGCTTTCGTCTGCCGAGCCGACGCGCTCCGGCAAAGATGCTCATGCTATCGCTGCGCTGGACAGATTTTGGGTCAGCTGGCCATGTTGGGCGCTGAGTCAGCCCTCATCCCTACCGGCAGTGGCTGACACGCCCGAGGTTGTCTCGAACGGGCGGGGCGCACCAGCGACCGCGCTGCTCACCAGCTTTGTCGTCGACGTCGTCCCCCACATGCAGCGTTACCGTAGGGTTTGTAGGCGCATCTTCGAGTCTGAAGTACCTGGACGTCCTGCGCGAGATCACGCAGCTGCTCTGCTGGACTGTTCGCCCAAGTCCCTTCCACGGAAGGTAGCTCGAGATGCTCTTTTTGTATTGTGTCGTGAGGGTGCAAAGATCGCTGGTGTATCCTTGCAGGTTTTTGCGTTGGCTCCGGCCAGCTGGCCAGAATGATTGCGCGCGTCGCGTGGCGGAGCGATGTGAACCTAGCGCGGCGCCTCAGGGCCGAGCGCCAGACTGCCACAGACGTCTTGGACATTGAGCTTGGTCGGGTGCGTCGGCCTCCGACTTCCCAAAGGCGGTCGGACACCATCCGCAGCCAGCGCGCGGAGTGAGAATATGGGGGTGGAGCGGCAATTATTCGGCCCCCGCCTCTGGTTCGACATCAACTTGCGGCGTTAGAGCGGAAAGTGGGGGATGGTGCACAGGGCGGTGAGGACCCCCAAAGGCCCCGCAATCTGATGCTTAGGCAGAGAAGCGCAACTTCGGCATGGACGTGCTGGAGCTCGACGCACGTAGCAGTGCCTGCCCGAACTCTCATGGCGCTCGCGGCAATGCGTCGATGGATTTTCTGCTGGGCGGCGCTGTTGCTGCCAGCGAATCTTAGCCCTTCCTCCGCTTCACGCTGTTCGTGGTGTCCAACGGATCGTTGCTCGCACCATCAAGAAGGTCCTCGCCCCTTATCCCTTGTGGAACACCTTCGTGGTGCTGTGGGTGCGCCCATGCCCTGTGTGTCGTGACGGGCGGTCGGTGGTTTGTCAGGACAGATAGCCAGATTGTGCGTTGCCCGAAGAAATGCCCCACATCTTGGTCTTTCGATTTCCTCAAGACGATCGCCAACGTGTGGAACGCGTCGCACAGGAAATGGCACTTGATGGGGAAGCTTCCATGCCGCTTCGGTTGCACTGGCCAGCATGGTAGACTCTTCCAGACTACCTCGAGTGCCCAGTCCGGCGCGATCGCGTTGAGGCAACTGCAGTATTCGAGACCGTGCGCGGCGCTGAGCAGGGTTGGTTTGCTCGGACCGGCCATCGAGATCGACGAGGTGGTGTTCGACATTGCTATGTGCTACTGCGCCTACTCTGGTCGCGGGTGGCGATGGTGTCGGTTTCCAGAGCAGCTCGTCGGAGGTTCAGGCTTGGTGCGCGGCGTCCTTGGCAATTCCCTTTGGGAAGTCGGCCCCCTGCGAAGCTCGACCGCAACGTGGAGCAGGCGCCGCGGACCACCCGCCCATGGACACGTTTGGCTTCTGCCTCTTCGGCGTCTTCGTTGGCGTCTTCTGCCGTGTCGTCGGCCTCCAGCGAGGCGAGTCGAGAATCTGTCGGCTGGGGCTTCAGGCGTTATCGGGCGGGCTCCTATGCCGCCTCATGGCTACCTTCGGTCTTCTGCGTGCTGGGTCGCAGGATGCGTGCTGGGTCGCAGGGTGCGTCGGCTACATCGCCAGCGTGCGACGCAACGACGCCTTCTCGTCGATGATCGCGCAACGGGGGCGGAGAAGTATCGGCCGGAGGGATGCGCTGGCCCGCGACATTGACCCGCGAGCACGGGCCGACTCAGGTCTGCAGCATCATCGTTCCCAACGTGTTCTTGACCATCTTTGGTCTCGCCGCGAGCGGGACGGGGTCTTCGCGGCGCAGATGACAGCTCAGCAACGCCCGCGCCTCCTTGGGTGGCGACCAGGTCTTCCCCGACTGCGTCTACATGGGCGTGCTCCTTCTCTGAGGTGGTCTTCGAAGCTCGCGCCTCGCTCCAGGCCGCTCCTACGTCGCCCTCTTTGCCGGGGGGGTAGGAAGCGAAGCCGATGCGGACGTGGGTCCGCCTATTGATCCGCATGATGTTTCCAGCTCGTCCTTGTGGGCGTCGAGGGGCAGTGGGTCGCCCAGTGGGCTGGCCCACTCTCGCCAGCGGATGTCGACCTACAGGCCATTGGAAATCGAGGGCCAGGCGGCTTGCGCGGAGAAGCAGCTGGCTGCATTGGGCTCCTCATATGGGGGCACCATGGCCTATGTGGACGTCGAGCACCTCCTGGATGATGGTGCTCCCGCGTCGTGGCCAGCTGCGTGCTCCAGCGCCCTTGCGCAATGGCCGCGCGCAAGTCTTGTATCCCAGGGCGCCCCCCTTCGCGTCGGTGGTGCGTCCCAGCTCTGAGTGATTTCGTTCGTGGGGGGGCGCAGGCGGTGGGCCCGGCGGATGTCGTGCGGCTGACGCGGCCGCAGCCGCTTGGCGACCCCTCAGGCGATGGCGGGTTCGAGACCTATCTCTCTTCACATTGGGTTCCGTGTTCATGCTGGGCGAACGCTCGCTGACCTGCACCGCGATGGTGAAGATGTCGGCGCTGTGCAAGACCCTGATCGCGCTTGTGATGCCCCTCCTGGTCAGAAGGCCAAATCCTGGGGGTGGCCTCCCAGGTTGGTCGTCGCCGCAATCAGCGTCGCCATGTCTTTTGCTGGACGTTGGCGTCAGTGCGCTAAATCTTGGGGCTGGTTTGCCAGGTTCGGAATCGCTGTTTTGCGTCGCGCAGCTTGAGGACACCAAGGGTGTTCAATAACTGGGAGCTCATCATGTGCTCCCTGCGGCCTCTCCCGCATACGATTTGTGTTCCTTTTTGTGATAACCCTTCCTGACGCCGAGGAAGGTGGTGGATTCTGCGCCGCCGAGCCTGTCTAACCTGACTTCGAACCTATACTTGGTGGTGTCGAGGACCACCTGCTGTACGACCAATTCCCAATGCTCAACGGCGGCTCTCCAAGCAGTGCGATGCGAGGTCCTGGGCCGGCACTCGGTGACGAGCAGGCGGTCGAGCCGTTCCTGGGGGGCCCTGAGTTTATAGCGGAGCAGGGGCACACCCACGTGAACAATACTGATGGCACGTCCTCGAGCGACGCTGGCTGCGGTTCGCTGAACGCCGATGCCCCCCCGGACTGCGTCCACCACGGCGACTCCATGTTCGCCCTCGGCTTCTTCGGGGAGGGCGTGAGCGCCCCCGCGTCTGCGGGTGCGGCCAGCGGCGGTCGGGCGTAAGGTGAAGACCCGCGCCCTTCGCACGCTGGGCTCCTCCCCCTCTTCCTCCTCGTCCTCCTCTCCTCCTCCTCCTCCTCCTCCTCTTCCTCCTCCTCCTCCTCTTCCTCCTCCTCCTCCTCCTCCCTCCTCTTCCTCTTCCCTCTCCGACCTCCTCCTCCTCCTCCTCGTCCTCCTCCTCCTCCTCCTCCTCCTCGTTCTCTTTCTCATCGTTTTGCCTCCCCTCCTCCTCGTACCCCTCCTCGCTCGCACCTCTCTGCTGGAAAGGCCGTCGTGTCTGGCGTGAAAAATATGATACAAATAAGAAGAATATGTATTGGAATGATGAGATGGATGATTGCAGTCGTGGGAAGGAAGAGGAGTCCTCGGTCGGCGCGCGCGTCTCAGTTGTGCCGCCCGCGGCGCTGCAGAAACGGCCTCGCCTTTGCGGGAGCAGACGGGTTGACCTTTCTTCTTGGGCGGAAGGCCGGCGGAGGGCTGGCGGACCCCGGTGGAAGCAGAAGGTGGCGTCTTTTGATCCATTGTCGTAAGTCTTTTAGGTGCCAGGCCTGATCGCGTTCCCTGGGGGAATTTTTGAGCATTTATTCTGCATCGCCGTTTCGAACGGTAGGCGTCTTGCAGGCTTAACGCTCGGCCTTCAGAGTGACTCAGAAGGGGCAGTGCGCTGAAAAGAAGGAAGCAGAAGTGCCCCCCCCTCAGATATGTCGTTTTCTTTATGGTTTCAGCGCTTCCGGAGCCGCATCTGCCACGTTTAGGCGGCCGACCCGCGGCAGCAGGGCTGGCAGAGACGCGCGGTCGCCCTTTTTCGCGACAGGCCCTGGCGTTCGGCGCAGCTGCGCCCGCGACGCCGGCTGGCCCGCCGGCAGATGAGCACGCCGCCCAGACGTCGGGCCGCACGCGTCACGAAGTTTTTCAGGTTGCGTGACCGGAAACTGGAACATATACATTACCAGTGGCGGGCTGTTTTTGAGTCTCCGGACTTTTTGAGGGTCGGGGACAACGTCGGGGTGGTGTGGTGTTTTTTTTCCCCCTTTTCCCAGGGCATCAAAGAAACGTGTATACACCAGGATCCAGTATACACCTGGACCGCTTTCCTGTGCGAGTTTCAGTGCGGGGCCAGAAAAAGCGTCGGTGTATAGAGTGCGGCTCCTTACGTGAACGCAGCGCGGCGGCGAAGATGGGAGCAGCTTGCCTTCGCACCGTCTGCAACGGGTGGTGCACGCAATCTCTCGCGAGACAGCCCGTCGACGTGGCTCGACGCTTCGGTTCCGCTCGCGTGCACGCCGTTTGAGGCAGTTCGGTGGCTTTACGTTTGCGTCGCCGAGTTTGTCGTCGCGCTTCTGTGTTTGTTCCGCCTCCCCTCCCCTCCGAAATTGCGCCACCAAGAAGGCATCTGTCGCGTTTGGGCTACGGAGGGCCGCCACAGGGGGGTTTGAGCTCGCGGAGGGGAAGGGGCCGTTGGAGCGGCCCCACATTTCTCCTGCTCGTTTGTCTTCGCTCGTGCGAGCGCTCTTTCATTCGTGCATCTGCCGTTCCTACTCGTGGTCGTACTGCTTTCCCACGCCTTTTTTCCCCCCTCCCGCCCTGTCGTGCTGCATGCCGTCCTGGCCCGCCGCGGCCAGAGGCCTGGCAGGGCTCGTCGGTGCAGAGGATGGCACGAAGCCGGTGCCCTGCAGGCGCGCAGAGCCGGCCCTCGTGACGGGGCACCTCTCGGCGGGCAGCACGCTACGGAGGTGGGACACTAACCCTCTGGCAGCAGGCTCGAAGCCGCCCGCGTCGCGCGTCGCGCGTCGCTCGCGGTCTGGGCCAGAGCGGTCGCCCTGCTGCAGGGTGGGGGGGGGTCTGGCGGCGCGAGGGCGCGTGGATGGTCGCGCGTCGCGCATCGCGGGGCGCGCGGCGCGGCATCGGGCGAGACTAGAATCCCCAGCCTCTCCTCTCGCTTTCCTCCCTTGTCGCCGCCTTCCCCTTGCCTTCCTGGCCTTCCTCTGTCTTTGCTTTCCTTCGAAGCAATTGGTGCATGATATTAGGTTCAGCATTTTTCAGAGGGCACGCAGACGCGCCGATCTGCATGCTGCCGCGCACGTCCATGGCCTGCCCGCAGCCTGCGACTCCGACCGACCGAGAACTCCCAACCTCTCCGGCTCAGGGCCCCTCGCGGCAGAATCTGCGACTGCGCGCGCTCCCCTCCCGCGGGGCGCGGCGTCCGCAGAGGGCCGCGGGATGGCGCGGGCGCGGGCGGCCGGCAGACGGAGAGGCAGGCTGGGTCGGACGCTGCGTAATAGGGCGGCGATGACCTCGGGGCGAAGCAGGCTGCGCGCCTGGTGCACCCCCAGGGGCCCCCTAAAGGTTCTCTTTTTCTGCCGCGTTTTGCGGGCTGGGTCGGTCTTGGACGGCCCTGGGGCCCGAAACTGTGCGAAAACGCCCGGTGTGCAAAATTGCAGCGCCCGGCTGTCAAAGGTCTTTTCCTAACGCTGCCCCGCGGTTTTCGGGCCACTCCTCGGCTCGCGGGCGGCCGTCCGGGGGGCGATCCGGGCACCCCCAGAACGCCCTCGGCGAGGCGCCGCTGCTGGAGGCCCCCCGAGGCTGGAGCGCCGCCGAGTGCCGACGAAAGCGCCCGAAAACCTGGAGCCTCGATTCCCATCCCAACGTTTCCCGAAGCCTCGAGACCCGAGAGCCTGGAGCCTCGAGCGCGCCCGGCGGCGCGCCCCCCTCCCCCGCCCCACCCCAAAACGTTCGCCCCCCAGGTGGCCCGGCCCCCGCGGGCCGCTCGCGGCGCCGCGTTCTGGCCAGGACACGTCGGAGCGAGTCCAGCTGAGGCGGCCAGGAGCCCCACTCGTAGCGCCCTCTGGTGGTCCCCCCCCTCGTGGCGCCCCGTCGTGGCGCCTCACTGCGGCGCCCCATCGTGGCTCCTCATCGTGAGGCGGCTGCGGCCGTTCGGGGGGTCTTTTCCCGCACGCTCCGTCCTCGGGGCGCGCTCCTGGCGCTCGCGGCTGCCCTCTGGACGAGGAGCGAGGAGCGTGGAGGGAGGAGCGAGCAACGAAGGAGACGAAGACCGAGGAGGAGGAGGAGGGAGGAGGATGAGGAGGATGATGAGGAGGAGGAGAGGAGGAGGAGGAGGAGGAGGAGGAGGGGAGGAGGAGGAGGAGGAGGAGGAGGAGGAGGA